AAAATTAAAAAGAAAAAAAAGCACACATTATTGGTAATCAAAGGGAGTGGGAAACCTACAATGAAAAGCTTTGTTTTCTACAAATTCTCTAAGATAATATAGGGTGAAGCTATTGGGATCAAATTAAACCACCTGAAGATTGTTTTCAAACTAAGAATTCTCCCACAGACTACAGACAGACCAAAAATGACAAACAAACCTGATACCAAGGAAAAGGAGTACATGATAATCGTATACTATTTTTTATCAGTATGATAATCATATTTACTAGTATGGTAAGATATTGGTAACTCATGAAACTCTTTGGATACAGCAACCATAACATTATGCTAAGAAATGAGACTAAAGTTTAAAGCAGAAAATTTACACCCAAAAAACAGACAAAATATCGATCATTCGGTCTCAATCCCACAGGATATACTGAATCCTACAACCTACAAAGACTCCTATCCAAAAATTGACCACTAAACACATACTCTTATAAAATGGAAAAGTACCTAGAAGTTCGACAATAATGGCTTCCACAGAAACTACCAATAAACTAGAATCACAGGAATCATCCTGTCACCTTAACTCCTAACAAGCATATTTAAGACCCCACGCTTAAACCTAGCTCCTTCTTGTACTTCATTTTATCATCATCTTATAGCTACATACGCTGACACAGCTTTACTAGATATAAAACTGACACAAGTAAGACGGTTTTTTATAATGCTTTTTTAAATATACTTTTCTTTCAAACTGAGTTGATAATTAGAGAAAGAAGATCTCACACTTTCACATACACACCAACCCACTTGATGCAATCACAAAAACTATACGTGACGGAGCTCAAAAGGCAAGCTAAAACAGACTACCCCGGTATAAAAAATTTGGAGAACATCTACCAATATCGAATGTATTCTTTGAACTTCAATTTACCCAGAGTAAGGTACAGGTGATAAAGATTGTATGTTCTCTAATAAGTAATAACAAGTTACTAGATATACAATCAAAATAAATAAGACTTTCACAATGTTATCGGCAAGATAATGATGAAATTTCTCACTTTGTCTATCACTCCAACCATTCTACCAAAACTGTCGTCACAACGTACAAGTTCTTTTGATAAACACTTGAATCGAAACTACTGGACTCATAATATAAGACAAATTCATACTGACCCAGAAACCCTTTTATCCCTAATAAATCAACCATGCTCCAATAATTCAAAAATGCAATCACTTTGATGCAGAACAATTGACCTGGACAACATAAATATTTTTTTTTTCTTTTATAAAAAACAGAAAATAACTTAATGCAGAAGACAGATACAACATCTCCGACTTAACTTTCCCCATAATTTTCTTCACTGGCAATCAAAGTGCAAGGATAACAAAAAGGATATAAACATCATTGATCCTGCCACAAAATTTAGCTATAACTGTAATAGATACAAAGCAACTCCAATAACCAATTAAGGTATAAATGAAATCGAGACGAAAAAAGTGATGATGCGGCAAAATCAACCTGGACAACATAAAATAAAAAAACAGGAAAAACAAAATTGATGCAGCAAACAGATACAGCATCTCAGACTTGACATTCCCCATAGTTTTCTTCAATGGCAATCAAAGTGCAAGGATAACAAAGGATATAAACATCATTGATGCCGACACAAAATCTAGCAGTAGTTGCAATTATACAAAACCAACATAGAAATCCCACTAACCAATTATAGTTCAATGGACAAAATCAAGACAGAAGTGCAAGATGCAGAAAAACCGACCAAGAATATAAGAGAATAGTTGAAAACAAGATACTGTTGTTTTGAAGAACCTAGTTAGATGTAGTGCATAGCAATACACATCTGACATATTGTTGGAAGATTGACGGCAAAACTATAAAACACAATCATCCACATGACTATCATAAAATTTGAACCTACTTTTTGTGTTTTTATCATTAAATCTAATAGATTCAACCATAAAAATCGTTGAAATCAAAACCAGTTAGTATCCTAACCAATTTCAATTTGTTCATCAATGGAAATTTCAACAGAAACCCCATGTAAATCTACCCATTTCTTCAATCAATCATTCGATATAAAATTCACATTCAAATTTTATCAAACAAACATAAAAATAACACCAAATCGATCTAAACAAGAACAAATCTACAAGAACCCTAATTCAGATCTTAAGATAATAGTTAGAGAGAGAGAGAGATGTATTACGTGTAGACACCAACGAGAGGAGCGAGAAGAAGAGTAGTACTGATCCAATTCTCAGAAACCTTATGTGTAAGCTTATCTGGAAGATTCTTCCATAAACCAGGCATCACTTTCTGCTGAAACGGTGACAAACTGTAAACCACAGCCTTCATTCTCACTGGAACTTTCCCCATTCTCTCTCTAACCCTAATTTCAGAAATTAATAACAATAGCAGTTAGATATGTAACATCAGAAAATTTGAATCGAACAGCAACAACAAGAAACAACAACAACAGAATCTAAATTGAAGATTTCGAAGAAGAAAAAAACAGCAACAAGAAGAAGAAATAAGAGCACAACACAACAAAAATTGAACAAGAAGATCAAAGAAGAAGAATGGAAAGAAGAACAAGAGAGAAAGATCGAGGATAAAAGAAGATGAAGATCGAGACTAACCAATAACTCCTCGCTGAATCGCTGCTGCTTGGTCGCTTTACAAAACTTGGGGTGGAAAATGTTATGTGTTGCGTTTTATAACAGGAGAATTTGATAGGGAAAAAATGGTGGAAAAGTGTTTCCTACCCATGGAAACGATTCACCCAGATTTACTACGGAAAAAATAGGGTCACGTGAGGGGAAAACAAGAAAAATTTATT